CAGAAAAATTAAGAAAATTTGATATGGCCCTATTATTGTTTAAAATACAGACCTGTGGCTCTTAATTTATTTTTAAAATTCATCATTTGTAAACTGATGTTTACTGTTAATTTTTTTTAGAAATATCAATAGCATTTGTATTAAAACTATATTCACTGAATATATATATAAAAAAACAATCGAGAATCGAATCGAGAGCTTGCGAATCAAATCGGGACATCTGAATCGATACCCAGGCCTACTCACAACCCACGCAAGCTAGATAATTCCGCGCACAGCTGCAATTCCAGGTTTTCAAACAGAGATGCCAACAAAGAGACAAAACTTACAGACTGCAGCTTTAATTATTTTATTTTATTTTTACAGTTGTAGGACCATATGAATTTTCAGAAATTCTGCATTTTATTTATTAGTAATCAAATGAAGGCATAAAACATTAATTTAATTTGTCATTCAACATATTTTTTCACAAGTTTCTGTGTGTATACTGTATATTTGATGATAGTTTTTGTTAATTTAAAGTGTAAAATGCTCATGAAGTGACTTTTTAAGCATTCAATAAAACAACAAAATGTTTAAACACTAGCTGGACTACTATATTTCTCTTTATAACATTCATTTTTAATAAAAACAAAAAACAATTATCTAGATGAAGTTGTTGGCGCCATGTACTAATCATGTAGGTTTGTGGACCACTATAGGTGAATAGTCGACCATCCTGACCAGTCCTCAGTCCTCAGTCTAGTGTGTGTGTGTGTGTGTGTTTGGTCCCTGTGTGAGTGTTTGTGGTTTGCTGTGGTGTGATTCAAAATTGTGGTGTAATGATGTCAGTTGATTAATGCCACAGATTTTCTGCTTATCTGATCTGCTCCACGGTCAAAACCACAACTGTAAACACCAACACAATTTAACAAACTCAGCCATTTCCTCTAGTGCCGTTGTGCTGTTTATTTAAGAGAGTGAATTGTGTGCTCATGTGTGCCATGACCGTGTGTCAGTCATTATTACTATAACCCTTTTCCTATTGCTGCCGGTCGGCACAGCAGTTGCTGCTTCCGCTCTCAGAATCCCTGGTTTCCTGTGGAGTTTCCTGCTGGCTCCTGAATCAGGCTCATAGTGAGGCAGGAATGGGGCATTCGGCCGAGCAAGTGCATTAAATCATGCAAAAAAAAAAAAACCTAAAAGCATGCTAGATGAGGGAGTGGAAGAGAGAGCGAGAGAGAGAGAGAGAGAGAGAGGGGAAAGAAACCATGCAGGCAGTGGATCTGGGCTCAGGCCAGCTGCTCTCGTCCCACGGGGGTCTTCAATCAGCGCACACACACACACGCCGCCTGGTGCTGCCCACTTACTGGACTGCTGCCTCCATCAACCTCCAGCACACGCACACTTATTGATCTTTACTAAAAAGGACAGTGAGCACAGGTTAATTCAATTCAATTCAAGTTTATTTGTACAGCGCTTTTCACGATACAAATCGCTGCAAAGCAACTTTACAGCAAATCAAGTTTCTACAATATTTAGTGGTAGTTTATCAGTGGTGACTGTCAGTTAATGTACATATGGCAGAAATGTACGGAATAACACTTATTATTTAAAGAACAATTTACTACTTCGATACCACCGCAAAAACTAGTAGCATGCAGGGATGTAATAATTCACTCGGCTCACGATGTGATATGATTCCCGATACTGATTTCACAATACAATTTTCTCACAATTTCTTTAACAAAATGAGATTTAAGACATTTAAAAAAAGATGTCCTTTTGTTATTTCTCAGACCAAAAGGCTGCGCATTACTTTGTGAAATTGAAAATGTCAAACAATATAATCAATTGAAATTTTAAAACAAATCCCAAATCAAGAAAATTAATAATACAAATAAAATAAATTTCTCCATGCAAGTAAACTAAGGTTTTGCCTGTGTATTTTAATCACGATTCAAACAAAGATGCTGCATACATGTTTGTACAATTTTGAAATTTGAAACAAAAACAAAATGGTCTGACTTTGCTTTGTGATACAAAAATTTGAACGAAACAAAAACAGCAGACGGGCTGAATGAGACGCAAATGTCACTCTCTGACTGCAGGTGGCGCTTAAACAGCAGGTATTTATAGGCTGCTGCCCCTTTAAGACCGAATGCACGGATCCAAAATAATGATGCACGTGCGATTTCTTTCTCCACGGTTTACTTTCATTTACATGAAAATACTTGCCGAGATAGTTATTTTGAGATAATTGTGCATGTATGTGTCCGTTCAAGCGAAAGAGGAATCAATTATCTGTTCGTGCTCTGCCTGAAACGCCGCTTTATATGTGCGCCCTTTGAGCGTGTGTGCGCGAGCACCAAACTGAATTCTTCATGCGCATGATTTTTATACAGTCTATGTTTAAAACGCCTGAATGTTTAAATTGGTAAGACTTAGAAACACGTGTAAATGATAAACTATGATCCGTTTCACCCATACAAGCGAGTGAACAACGCGAATCAAGGAAGAGATTTTCTATCACTATTCAAGATAGCTAGGGCAGTGATACATTTTGGTAGCCCGACTGGAAAACACAATAGCCCCGGGACGTCGGGCTAGCAATTTTGCGAGCCCTGCTTTCTGTAAGTTATTTTGTATTTTTTGCAGAGATGTTCACAAGTCTTTAACTTGGAGTCTGAGTCAAGTCTCGAGTCTTTGGTCACGAGTCCGAGTCGAGTCTCAAGTCATTTAATGGCTCGCTAAAAAAAATCCCATTCAGAATCAATGCAATTCAGTGTATTGAAATCTTACTATTTACGAAGCTGTTTTATAGGCTATAGACAAAATATATGATCTATGATCTGCTTTGTAAAAAAAAAGAGGTGTTAAGACGTAAGGTTAATGTACATCCAGCCTGTTATTTATAGGCTATGCTTTAATCCATTACCATGTTCAAAACAGTTTTTCTGTTATCAAATTCTATAAAAAGAGTCCAATCTACCATGACACACAAGGAAAGATATTACAAAACCATACAAATAAAGTATTTCTTTATGATATAAGTCAGGGGTATTCAATTAAATTTCCAAGAGGTGCGGCCTATATATTTTCTTCCAAGCAGAGGTCCGGACAGAATTTATTATTATTATTTTTTTTTTTACATGTATTGTATTTTTACATTTAGATACATGCGAGGCCTCAAAATAGTCCTACTGTTTCTGTTTAGGGTTTTCCTCCTGAAATCTATACTGTTTTAATATTTTACTTAAAAGCATTATCTACTAAAAACAATGTAGCTAGAATAATCAAAACGTTCTCATCTTGAGCAGAAAATAAAGATAACTAGCAGTTTCAAATTTTAAGTTTTATCCTAGCCATCTAATGACAATTTTCCCAATTATAATTGCTACATGATTCTTTTGAAATGTTCTTAGCCTACAGATTAATAATACTAAATGTAGATCAGAAACCTTGTCACTTCTGTTTTGAACAGTCAGAGCCATAGGCCTAGGTTATAGATAGATATAGATAAATAGATAGTAAGAAAAATAACTATATTTGCAGCATTGTTTTTTTCTGCTGTGTTTTAGTGAAAGTAATCTATAATTTTGCTGCTCACCGTGTTTCTGTTGTTGTTAAAATAACCGCGTCATCCGCAGCTCTTAAACTTGGCACTGGCGTGCGTCCGGAGAGAGAGAAAGCGCACGGAGCTTTAAAAATAATAAAAATACAAGACGATATAGCGCTGAAAGATATTTGCCTTAAACGACCCTGAGCGCTTGTTATGTGATCCGCTCCACTGTTTTGGCTGCTCGGCTCATGGTCCGGGTGGATGCCGGGGTGAGGATGCGGTCCGCCTTTTGAATATCAGTTATAGAAGTATTTAAGGATAAAAGACTCGAGTTGCTTTTAAAATATTCACGAGTCCTTTTCCTCGAGTCGAGTCAAGTCTGAAGTCTATAAAAATGCGATTTGAGTCCGAGTCACTATAACTCGAGTGCCCATCTCTGGTTTTATGAATGCGTCATTGAATTTTTCACTCAACCGATTTGTTAAAAAACATCAGGTTGTTTACAACCTAAATGTGTTTTCCTTTATTAACCTTCTGGGGCTGCTCACAAGGTAGTCAGAAATGCCAGGTTTTAGATGTATATATGTGTATGTATATACGTATATCTCAATGAAATTAATGTACCATATTTTAGTTTTTTTTTTTTTATAATTTTTTTTTTAGGGGATTTTATGGTAATAAATTATATTTATGGCACATTTATGATCCTTTTATTACTTGTTACCACTTTTTGAGCATTGACCTGAAAATGAAACTTTTCAAAAACACGTGGCAGATTATTGCTTAAGTAAAAAAAAAAAAAGTTATAGAAGTTTGTTTATTATTCTGAAAAATAAAAAAGCCATACATCTGAACAAGTAGTTCCAAATTTGTGGTTGATCTAAAAATGAGCTTTCGGTAAGTTTTTGTTTGGGCGCAGTACCAAATGTTTCCACTAGATGAAATTCGTTTCCCCTTCATTTCCAATGTGGTCATTTTTGACTTTTTGACTGCCAAGTGTGGCTTTTTTTCCCCCCCAGGACCATTTAAAGTACACATGAAATCAAAATTGACTATTTTGTTATTTTGTTAGCGTACTGTTATTTTTGTGGTGAACAATTCATCTGTGCAAGTCAATCCACACAAAAAAAAAATAGTTTGCCTTCGTAATCTTTAATCCAAATCTAGAAATGCAGCTCCCCTCTGAAATGACGGACATTCTCTTGGGCTTGAGCATAACATCCTTAAACACGCCCCTCCAAACTGTCAGTGTTGTTCTGAATGAAACGCCTACTTTACTACATCCATTTCTCTCGGAAGTACGTCATAATACGGAAGTAAAGTCGGTCGCAACTTCTGGTTCACGCGGACTTTAAATAACATAAAATAGAACTTTGCGTAAGTTGCAGCCAAAAAAAATCGTCATGTCATTGAACCATGCACAACACAGACTTTGAATGCATAAATCTCAGGCAAATCCTGCTCTTTTGAAGACACACAATGGACACCTACCGTCCCCCGAGCTCTGGCAGGTCAACAGATCTGCCCATGATGAGGTACGACTTGCCTTCTACCAATCCCAAATGGTTTCTGCAACTTGGACGAGCCAAAAATGGTCTCACTTTCCCCTCAACATCCACATCGGTGCCTACAGGACAGAACAGTGTATAGGAAACAATTGCAATGCAACTGCAATGCAATTTAGTCTTCTGTAGAGCATGTGTAATGGGATAATAATGAACCATACCTTCTTTCAGCACCTGCTCCACCTTCAGGTCATAGATGTCAGAGTCCTGTTTCAGATCCGATCCAGCCACTGTGACTTTATAAACTGTCAAACACATTATATTGTTATCTGCATGTCGAGCTAAAAGGCTCAGGCTAAACATTTTCATTGCATTTGCACAAGAGTTAAAGGAATAGGTCACCCAATGTTGTCATAATTTATTCCCTTATGTTGCAAAACAGCAACCTTTATATGCTTGCAATTATTGTTGCTTAACATAGTCACTATAAAAAGAGCAGTGAGTGTATAAAACTTTTCTATTGCATCCCAACAGCAACAAACAACTGGAGCATTAAAGGGATATTTCACCCAAAAAATAAAATTAGTCTAAGATTTACTCACCCTCAAGCCATCGTAGGTGTAGACTTTCTTCTTTCAGACGAATCCAATCAGAGTTGTATTAAAAAATATCCTGGCTCTTCCAAACGTTAGTACGTAGGAGTAGCGCATGCGCCAAACCAACCAACATTAGTTTACAGGAGCAAAGGAAGCAAAGTTTTCTTACTTTAGCAAAGGAAAACCAGTCTCCTCTTGGTTTATATCGAAATCCTGCGACATTTTTCCTTACAAATCCTCATTTTGTACTTCTAATTCGTGACTAGCGTTTTGTTTTGTTCCCTCCTCTCTGTTTCCGCGTTCGTCACTTCACACCGGCGCATGCGCTACGCATACGTTTTGCGTCATCCACCCGGAACGGTTTCCGCGTACGACAGTTACAGTTAGCGCAAGCTACAGAAAAGTGGTTATGACGTTTTAAATATGATATGTTTCTTACAAGAACGCAGTCATTATTAAGCTTGTAAGAGCCAGGACAATTTTTTAATAGA